TTATTATCGGTAAAAAGTTTATGTAATCATTAATGTATTTTTCATCAATGTGACCCTTTACTTCAGCCACGAATAAAGTATTTTTCTTCTTAATTATTCCCAGTGCTTTTGCTTTCTTTGTTGCTGTATCACAAATGATAACACCATTCAATCTTCCGGCATATACATTTTATGGTCAGTATATTGAATGAAATCATGAGGATTAGATGAAAATGATGAAGGATATAATGAATTAAAGTCAACTCCAACGAAATGAGTCATAATGTTGGTGTTGTCCTCATTTGATACAGTTTTAGTTTCTGGACTATATGCAAGTTTATTAATGTGCGTGATTCCTTTAAGATTTACTCTATGTTGAACATTTGATAAACCACCAGTAATTCCATTACGGAGAATGTGATAAGCTTCAACCGAATCTAAAGTCATTGGTAAATTATTTTTTAATGCGTAATTTCTTAAATTGATTCTTAAACGTTGAACATCTTCATCTTTATTTGATTTTACGACATTGCAATAACAACACATTAACTGACAATTTTCTTTGGTATGTGGTTTTTCATTATCGATTCTATCCAATGTTGGTTTATTTGCATATGTAAACGTTTTACCACACATTTTGCATTTAGATGAAAGGATTAAATCGTGATAGTATTGAAAATCATCCATTGAAACATTATTTTTAGTATCCCTTTTTGCTTTTTCATCTTGTTTCTTATATGATTCAATTTTATATTCCAATACTTTTTCGTTAATTCAAAACTTGATTCTATCTCTTCCTCAGGATATTTTCATTAGGATTAAAGTCTTTATATGCTAAAGCGTAACGAATCATTGAAGCATTCGATGATAAAGAAAGATTATGAAGCATGTCAATTTTATAAACAAATGTTTCTTCAATAATTTTATCGATTGGGTCAATCATAATTTCAACATCTTTATTGCAATAATGAATAAAATATTCTAATCTATTCTTAAAATTTTTAGCATCATTGAGATATATTTGATAATCACTATCTGATATAGTTTCTTGAGTTAATGCTGAATAAAATGAATCTTGAGTGAATGGTTCCTCTTTATATAATTCTTCTTCGTAATTTTCCCATGTGATGAATTGATAAGGGAAAAAGGATTTAACACGTGATTTATTGTTTCCGAAATCTTGAGTGAATTGGTCTAATGTCCACCCGCTATATAATTTTCTGATGTCAATAAATCTCAATTCATATGGAACGTTTGTTTTCTTTACAATGATTTGCTTAAATTGTGAGGATGAACCCAGCATTGATTTTATTTTCCATTTTGCAGTGTTTAAATCACGAAGAATTAAATTTAAATCAAACTTTCCCGAATTAAAACCTATGATATTCACTTTATTGAATTCCTCATCTAGAAGTTCTTTAAATGCTTCCTTCTGTTTTTCATTTAATGTTTGCGGCTTCATTAATTCTTCATATTGTTCTTTTGATTTAGCAACTAATGAACAGGTTGAAATAAAAACTCAATCCAATCAGAAATAAAAGAATCACTCGAAGTTAAGCAAAAATTCCTCGTATATGTTTTATCATTTAATTTAACCGTTGATGATACCATGAATGGTTTTAAGTAAGCGTTCAAAGTTGCACACTCAGAAAGTTGTAATTCTTCTTTAGTCTCTAATGTTTCAAAGCCAAAAGTAATATAATATCTTGTCGGTTGATAATATTCCTGCAAATTGTGAGCTAATAACCACTGATATATCTTCTGTTTCGTAATATGTGGTGCATATGGTTGCTGTGTCTTTTGCAACTGAACGTCTTGAATTAATCTCCCATTATTTTCTTTACATTTCTCACAATGCTTTAAAAATCTTCTTTGGTTTTTCCTTTCTGGATCATCACGGATAGAATAAACTTCTTCTTTACAATATGGACAAACTTTATAGCCGGTGAGTGCTTCAACGTCTGTTATTCTGTCAGCGTGAAGTTTTCCACATGGACTCTGTGTTAATAAAATATTTACTGTTTCAAATTCTGGATCTATCATTATTGATTCCACTAATGGAAAGTCTACCTTATTTATGTCCACGTCTTCTGGTTGAGGATCACAAATAATAGAAATCAATATTAACATTTATCATTCTCGCTAATCTCTCACTTTCTGATGAAATGTCAAACCGTCATATGCATCTATTGCTTCATTTAAATAGCTTCTACGAGTTTTAGGATTAACACCATCAGGAATGTTATAGAAGCGTTTAAATAACCTTCTACCTTCTGCTCTAATTTGATTATCATTCATTTTAGCTGTTCCGTTTTTGTTCATTTATGTAAGAATAAAAATTAAAAAAAATAAAAATAAAGTTTATTTATTAAAGTCCATAAAATGAATTAAGAACACATAAATTTTTATCATCCGCGACGTGACGAATACATTTTAATTTACTCAAGAATGTGTACCCTGATACATTAAATCTAATTCCTGTCTTATTTAATTTCACAACTTTGAAAAGGAATGTATGAATAGCTATAAAATGAAGAGAAGATGTTTTATGGGTTGCTTCTTTTTTCTGAAATAAATGAATAAATATAATGCTTATACGTTTTCATATCTTTTATATTCTAATAACGAATGGTATAGACCTTTCCACTTCATCTTCCTTCGGTGCTGTTCTTTCATATGAAACATTATTAGTATCTTCAACAATGAAACCGCAATCACATAAAATTTTATATGTTCCAATGGTTTCTTTTGATATTTTATCTAATAAATCAAAAACTTTATCAACACCTGTGCATTTATTTAAATAATAATTTGTGTAAATATCATGATCTTCTTTCTTAATCGTATTAGTCGCATATGTCACGTTTTTAAGAGCTTTTTTGAATTTCTCAGAATCGAGAGGGGGTGAAAGTAATATACAGGGGTATTCTTCATTATCAATAAATTGTAACTTATGTTTACGAATAAATTTAGTTCCTTCTTCTGAAAGTGCTTCATCTATTTCACCATCTAATAAATTTTGTGTTGATTCTGAGACATAATTTTTATATCTTTCTTCATGAGATTTCTGAACTTCTGATTCTGAAGCTGGGATATTCATTAAACCCTCTACTTCATTTTCATTATATTTTTCAACTTCTCTTAATTCCTTAATTTTTTCATCTATTTCATCTCTTATTTTTTCCAGTCTTTCAATTTCATCATATTCATCATCTTTAATCCGTTCTTCATAATATTCAGGGAAAACATCAGGTTCTTTAGGTTTTTCTTTTTTAGAAGTGGGATATAAGAAATTTATAACATCATCTTTATTCATTTTTCCATCATAATCAAACTCATTTAAAAACTCCGCAAATTTTTGACAATTTCTTAAATAATATTTATCAACTTCATAACCCGCCTCCTCTAATATATCCATTATTTCCTTGTTTGTGAATCCCAATTTTTTAACGTTGTTAGTTGTGACACTCATTTCATACAAAATAAAAAATAAATTCAAATAATCATTAGTTTCTAATTTCTTTTTCTCATTTATGAGGTCTTTGATTATGACTCCATTGATTCCATTCATGATTTAAACAATGTTTAATTAATCGAGGAATATTTGGCATCATCATTTATGGGTTGTGTGTAAATGTCTTACAATCTTGAATATTTTTAAATCTTGATTTATTCAAAAACGTAAGAATAAAAACCGTAAGAATCATACATTTTTTTATTTCATATGTAAAAAAAATGATACAAAATCGTTCAATATTGTAAGAATTCTTACGTTTACAAAAAAAGTCACTAAACCCGTTATATATACTACTGTCGATGAAAAAATGAGCGTTTTTAAAAAACCGCCGTTTGAGAGGAAAATTGAGAGCCCCGATGTATACTTTTTGACATTGTCAAAAACTTTGAAAGGACCAAAAAATTTTTAGTGTCAGAAAGTTTACAAATGTATACTTTCTGACAAACAGACTCTCAGAAAGTACTCAAACTGCGGTTTTGAATTTCCGCACTTTTTTGGCGACCTTATTCGAAAAAAGTAATTCTATTGCCTACGATTATTTTTGGTTCAAATACTGATCGTCATTAGAGGTAAAAATAATCATACGATATTTTTGGGTTGAATCTTGCCCCTGACAAAACCTAAAAAAAACTCCTATGATTTACTTATCGCATGTGTAAATATAGCAGTAGTTTTAGATCACTCTGAATTTTCAATCGCTCTCAAGCATTCAAATTTTTAGAAATTTTAAAGGATAAAATAAGTATGCTATTTAGGCACTTGAGTACCCTCTAAGTAAAAAAAACGCCTAAACATTCATGAAAATTCGAATTTGCAAACGAGTATAGAAATCTGCAAACAGTTTTTAATTTTTTTTAATTTTCTATTTTTGAGTAATCGGGAATTTTCCTTTCAATTTTTTTAGATGAAATTCCCGAAGATCTTTCTCGGGTTTTATATATTGCCTACGATAGATATGATACTATTAAATGGCAGATTCGATCTTAGATCGATACTAACCGTATTATTTTTGCTATTTTTCATATTTTGGTTTCAAACACTTGGGAGAATCTATACTATAAACAAGCTTCACCGAAACAAACAGTTTGATTTTCTATGGTTTGCGATTCTAAATTCACTACCATTCATTCTAAAGGAAATCAAAGTTAACAAAAAAATTGTAAGTTTCCGTCCAGATAAGAAATATTCAAATTTAATAAGTAACATCGAATCTACCTTCTTCATTATCATATTTACAGTCGGAATTTCTGCTTGCAAGGACGTTTTTGAGTCCACCGGACCATTATACCACGATGAATGGATCGGTTTGTTACAATCTACTACTTTATACAAAGACGACAAGAAGGTTGTCATGTTGTTCGTCACGAAATATTTGCTAGAGAACTTATTACTGACCATTTTTGTTTTATTTTTATTTTATTTCTTGACGCAATATGAATTTACCATTTACAAATACAATTTTACTCTGACGTATCGAATGCTTTCCATAATCTACTTAGTTTCTATGATCTCATTGGCAATACCACTCTACAAGCCGAATACGTTAACAAGTAGCGAATTTTTGAGAGAAAATTCAGTGATTCCAGACATGAAAGTTATTGAATTTCCTGAGAAAAAGAAAAACTTGATATTCATAGGCCTTGAAGCCTTTGAAACAATGTACTTTTCTAAAGAACATGGCGGAGTTTTCGATGTTCCTTTGGCTCCAAATTTGGAGAGAATTGCATTCCAAAACAACTCAATTTTCTTTTCCAATCTCGATGGAGACAAAGTTGGCGGCGTGAATGTTATTCCGAGAACGAGGTTTACTACCGCAGCTTATTTTGCAATGCAATGCGGCTATGCTTTTCTTTCCGATCCAACACCAACAGGAAATGTGTATTCCGAACAATATTTTCCTAAATTCAAATGCATTGGAGACATTTTAAAAGAAGCAAGATACAACATAACAGTTTCTTATGGAACACATCCTCATGATTTCGGAATTGGAGACCTTTTCAATAGCCACTCATTGATACAAGTTTGGTGGAGAAATGACATTGATCCCAATAAGAAAGGCATTTATGTTTTTGATAGAAAAACAATTCCTTTCTTTAAAAATGTTTTGACAGAAATGGGTCAATCAAAAACTCCCTTTTTTGCTTCTGTTATAACAACGGATACTCATGAACCTGGCTTTGTTTGTCCTGATTGCCCTCCTGGAGAAAGTGATTTGTTTTCCACAGTGAAATGCTCTGATAAAAGAATCGCTGATTTATTGGAATGGTGCAAGAAACAAAGTTGGTATAACAATACTGTTATAGTATTATTCGGAGACCACATTGTAAGAGGAAATGGAAATCCTGAAATCGCAGAGAAGCATCGCTTCTCAAGACGTCCTTTTAACTTGATTATTAACTCTGGTTTGGAGAATAAGAATAATAGAAAGAGAGAGTTTACAAGTATGGATGTGTACCCAACAGTGATTTCTGCAATTGGAGCTAAATTGAAAACTGAACAATTGGGAATGGGTGTAAATTTATTCAGTGGAGAACAAACTTTAGTCGAAAAGTTTGGTCTTGAGAAGTTTATTAAGGAATGTGAAGGCACAAGAATTTTCTATAACCATGTTCTTCTTCGTAAAGAAGATGATATTAGAGTTTTAGGTTTCTTAAATGGAACAGTTCACGCTTAAATATGTTTTGTATGTAAAAATAATTTATAGAGATATTTATAAATTTGAATCTAATTTATGTTAACTTGGAAAGCATATTATTCAACTATTTTGATTATATAACATCATCATATTCTACAGCAATTCTTTTCTTCAACCTTATTCGATATAATCCGTGTTCAATGTAATTGCCGAATAAGGTTTAGTTTATAATATATCTGCAATTTCTTTAGAAATCCATCCAGCGGATCCTTCGTGCTCGCATATATTTGAATAAAATTTCAATAAATGTACGTTTATTTTTTTAGCAAAATGGGGTGCAACATCTCTGTGGAACAGCTGATGGATACATTGTTCATTGTGACATTTATTGGATTAGATAATTCAGGCAAATCAAATATAGTTCATAAACTTGTTTCTACTGATGGATCAGAATATGTTCCGGTTCCAACAGCAGGTTGTGAGTTTTATAATCTCTCCAGTAGTGGCTTAAAAATAGTAGATATGGGCGGAATAGGCAAATACCGTGATCAATGGCCAAGTTATATCAAACAAAGTGATGGCGTTGTATTTGTTATTGATAAATCAGATCATATTAGAATGAGTCGTGTTAGAGAAGAAATTGCTGAAGTATTAGAGCTTGTTTCTAAACTTAGTATTCCAATTCTAATTTTAGCTAATAAATCGGATTTAGATCAGATGCTTAACGAACAGGACATTGCATCAATAGTTCAGATTTCAGAATATCATGTTGAATACGAAATTAAACTTTGTTCGGCAAAAACGGGCGAAGGAATTACTCAAGGACGCGATTGGCTTATGAGCCACATGAAACCTAAGCAACAGACAATGCAGCAGCTACCAATTTAAGTACTTTTTTTTATTTGTTATATATAAACATTTTGTTATTGTTTTTATGCCAAATATATAATTGCATGACAACATTTTAGCAATGGCGAGAATGTTATTGATGATGTCATAATGAAAATTATCTTTTAGGATATATGCTATGCATTAGTCAAATATTCGCAATTTTTAACTACAAATCTATGAACATATCAAATATTATCTATTAAATAGTTTATATACCTCCAATTAAACTCAATTTACTGCATTTGAGGATTAGTAGTAGGATAGGAAGGGTTGTGTGACTTTTTTTGTTACATCTATATATAGACGATGCATTAAAATATATTTATTTATAAATCATTAAAAAATTAACATGAGTGGGGGACAAACTCGCCCATTGTCACTTTTTCATTAACCTTAAACTTGTAATTTTCATTATTTTTAATTAACCTTATTTCTTTCCCAATTCCTGATTTATTTTATTCACTTACTATTAAAAGTCACATTTTAATAAAATATAATAATTTATTTATAGCATTTTTTACTATACTGTAATAAAAAATTAATTATAATAAATTAAATGTTTATTAAATCAAATGTTTTCTTTGCAATAATATTTTTAATGTTGAGTAAACAATGTTGGGATCAAGTGTATCATTTTTCAGACCTTTCTGAACAGCTTCAAGCATACTGATACATTCGACTTTTTTAAATTGTGTCATTTCTTCGAAATCTCTTGTGACTTTTTTGATAACTTTAACACTTCTCTCTGAATCCAGACCTTTAATTTGCAACTTAATCAGGAATGAAGGAACAACACTGGAATATAACTCAATGACAAGTTCATCGAGTCGAAGATTTGGTTGTACACCACTTGTATGTGCCGGATACCATTGTGTCAAATTTTTTCTGAAATTAACTTTAAAAGTACTAAGTAAGATCATGAGATATAGCAATATATGTTTAAACTAACTTATATTTTGGTTGTACACCACTTGTATGTGCCGGATACCATTGTGTCAAATTTTTTCTGAAATTAACTTTAAAAGTACTAAGTAAGATCATGAGATATAGCATATATGTTTAAACTAACTTATATTTTGGTTGTACACCACTTGTATGTGCCGGATACCATTGTGTCAAATTTTTTCTGAAATTAACTTTAAAAGTACTAAGTAAGATCATGAGATATAGCAATATATGTTTAAACTAACTTATATTTTGGTTGTACACCACTTGTATGTGCCGGATACCATTGTGTCAAATTTTTTCTGAAATTAACTTTAAAAGTACTAAGTAAGATCATGAGATATAGCAATATATGTTTAAACTAACTTATATTTTGGTTGTACACCACTTGTATGTGCCGGATACCATTGTGTCAAATTTTTTCTGAAATTAACTTTAAAAGTACTAAGTAAGATCATGAGATATAGCAATATATGTTTAAACTAACTTATATTTTGGTTGTACACCACTTGTATGTGCCGGATACCATTGTGTCAAATTTTTTCTGAAATTAACTTTAAAAGTACTAAGTAAGATCATGAGATATAGCAATATATGTTTAAACCAACTTATATTTTGGTTGTACACCACTTGTATGTGCCGGATACCAATGTGTCAAATTTTTTCTGAAATTAACTTTAAAAGTACTAAGTAAGATCATGAGATATAGCAATATATGTTTAAACTAACTTATATTTTGGTTGTACACCACTTGTATGTGCCGGATACCATTGTGTCAAATTTTTTCTGAAATTAACTTTAAAAGTACTAAGTAAGATCATTTATTTTTGCATAATATAATGCCAATATGGTTTCTTTTGATTTTATTTCATTTATAAGCAAATCAGATTTACCCAAAAACTCCACTCCATAAGCGTTCATTTGCTAAATTAAAAAGTGACAATGGGCTAGTCTGTCCCTTTCTCAATTAACATTAATTTTAAAATAATTTATTTTTTATCTTTTATAAAAGAAGCTATATATAGATGATGTCAGATATTCCGCGATTAATTAAACAATGTTTAAATCCTGAATGGAATCAATGGAGTCATAATCAAAGACCTCATAAACGAGTAAAAGAAATTAGAAATAATTATTTTCATGAATGAAAGATTCACTACCATAATGAAATAAAAAATAAAAAAATAAACTTTAAAAATTCATGTCTTACATTTTTGAATAATTTATTTTTATTTTGTATGAAATGAGCGTCAAAACTAACAACGTTAAAAAATTAGGATTCACAAACAAGGAAATAAAGGATATATTAGAGGAGGCGGGTTATGAGGTTGATAAATATTATTTAAGAAATTGTCAAAAATTCGCGGAGTTTTTAAATGAGTTTGATTATGATGGAAAAATGAATAAAGATGATGTTATAAATTTCTTATATCCCACATCTAAAGAAGAAAAACCTAAAGAACCTGATGTTTTCCCTGAATATTATGAAGAACGGATTAAAGATGATGAATACAATGAAATTGAAAGACTGGAAAAAATAAGAGATGAAATAGATGAAAAAATTAAGGAATTAAGAGAAGTTGAAAAATATAATGAAAATGAAGTAGAGGGTTTAATGAATATCCCAGCTTCAGAATCAGCAGTTCAGAAATCTCATGAAGAAAGATATAAAAATTATGTCTCAGAATCAACACAAAATTTATTAGATGGTGAAATAGACGAAACACTTTCAGAAGAAGGTACTAAATTTATACGTAAACATAAGTTACAATTTATTGATAATGAAGAATACCCCTGTATCCTACTTTCACCACCTTTAGATTCCGAAAAATTCAAAAAAGCTCTTAAAAACGTGACATATGCGACTAATACGATTAAGAAAGAAGATCATGATATTTACACAAATTATTATTTAAATAAATGCACAGGTGTTGATAAAGTTTTTGATTTATTAGATAAAATATCAAAAGAAACCATTGGAACATATAAAATTTTGTGTGATTGTGGTTTCATTGTTGAAGATACTAATAATGTTTCATATGAAAGAACAGCACCGAAGGAAGACGAAGTGGAAAGGTCTATACCATTCGTTATTAAGAACATAAAAGATATGAAAACTTATAAACATTATATTTATTCATTTATTTCAGAAAAAATGGAAGCAACCCATAAAACATCTTCTCATCATTTTATAGCTATTCATACATTCCTTTTCAAAGTTGTGAAATTAAATAAGACAGGAATTAGATTTAATGTATCAGGGTACGCATTCTTGAGTAAATTAAAATGTATTCGTCACGTCGCAGATGATAAAAATTTATGTGTTCTTAATTCATTTTATGGACTTTAAAAATAAACTTTATTTTTATTTATTTTTTAATTTTTTATTCTTACATAAATGAACAAAAACGGAACAGCTAAAATGAATGATAATCAAATTAGAGCAGAAGGTAGAAGGTTATTTAAACGCTTCTATAACATTCCTGATGGTGTTAATCCTAAAACTCGTAGAAGCTATTTAAATGAAGCAATAGATGCATATGAAGGGTTTGACATTTCATCAGAAAGTGAGAGATTAGCGAGAATGATAAATGTTAATATTGATTTCTATTATTGTGATCCTCAACCAGAAGACGTGGACATAAATAAGGTAGACTTTCCATTAGTGGAATCAATAATGATAGATCCAGAATTTGAAACAGTAAATATTTTATTAACACAGAGTCCATGTGGAAAACTTCACGCTGACAGAATAACAGACGTTGAAGCACTCACCGGCTATAAAGTTTGTCCATATTGTAAAGAAGAAGTTTATTCTATCCGTGATGATCCAGAAAGGAAAAACCAAAGAAGATTTTTAAAGCATTGTGAGAAATGTAAAGAAAATAATGGAAGATTAATTCAAGACGTTCAATTGCAAAAGACACAGCAACCATATGCACCACATATTACGAAACAGAAGATATATCAGTGGTTATTAGCTCATAATTTGCAGGAATATTATAAACCGACAAGATATTATATTACTTTTGACTTCGAAACATTAGAGACTAAAGAAGAATTACAACTTTCTGAGTGTGCAACTTTGAACGCTTACTTAAAACCATTCATGGTATCATCAACGGTTAAATTAAATGATAAAACATATACGAGGAATTTTTGCTTAACTTCGAGTGATTCTTTTATTTCTGATTGGATTGAGTTTTTATTTTCAACCTGTTCATTAGTTGCTAAATCAAATATTGAACAATATGAAGAATTAATGAAGCGCAAACATTAAATGAAAAACAGAAGGAAGCATTTAAAGAACTTCTAGATGAGGAATTCAATAAAGTGAATATCATAGGTTTTAATTCGGGAAAGTTTGATTTAAATTTAATTCTTCGTGATTTAAACACTGCAAAATGGAAAATAAAATCAATGCTGGGTTCATCTTCACAATTTAAGCAAATCATTGTAAAGAAAACAAACGTTCCATATGAATTGAGATTTATTGACATCAGAAATTATATAGCGGGTGGGACATTAGACCAATTCACTCAAGATTTCGGAAACAATAAATCACGTGTTAAATCCTTTTTCCCTTATCAATTCATCACATGGGAGAATTACGAAGAAGAATTATATAAAGTGGAACCATTCACGAAAGATTCATTTTATTCAGCATTAACTCAAGAAACTATATCAGATAGTGATTATCAAATATATCTCAATGATGCTAAAAATTTTAAGAATAGATTAGAATATTTTATTCATTATTGCAATAAAGATGTTGAAATTATGATTGACCCAATTGATAAAATTATTGAAGAAACATTTGTTTATAAAATTGACATGCTTCATAATCTTTCTTTATCATCGAATGCTTCAATGATTCGTTACGCTTTAGCATATAAAGACTTTAATCCTAATGAAAAATATCCTGAGGAAGAGATAGAATCAAGTTTTGAATTAACGAAAAAGTATTGGAAATATAAAATTGAATCATATAAGAAACAAGATGAAAAAGCAGAAAGGGATACTAAAAATAATGTTTCAATGGATGATTTTCAATACTATCACGATTTAATCCTTTCATCTAAATGCAAAATGTGTGGTAAAGCGTTTACATATGCAAATAAACCAACATTGGATAGAATCGATAATGAAAAACCACATACCAAAGAAAATTGTCAGTTAATGTGTTGTTATTGCAATGTCGTAAAATCAAATAAAGATGAAGATGTTCAACGTTTAAGAATCAATTTAAGAAATTATGCATTAAAAAATAATTTACCAATGACTTTAGATTCAGTTGAAGCTTATCACATTCTCCGTAATGGAATTACTGGTGGTTTATCAAATGTTCAACATAGAGTAAATCTTAAAGGAATCACGCACATTAATAAACTTTCATATAATCCAGAAACTAAAACTGTATCAAATGAGGACACCACCAACATTATGACTCATTTCGTTGGTGTTGATTTTAATTCATTATATCCTTCATCATTTTCATCTAATCCTCATGATTTCATTCAATATACTGACCATAAAATGTATATGCCGGGAAGATTGAATGGTGTTATCATTTGTGATACAGCAACAAAGAAAGCAAAAGCACTGGGAATAATTAAGAAGAAAAATACTTTATTCGTGGCTGAAGTAAAGGGTCACATTGATGAAAAATACATTAATGATTACATAAACTTTTTACCGATAATAAGAAACTTAGATATTATCACAGATGAAAAAACAATTGGCAGTTTTATGTATAATTACATGAAATCAAACAATCTACCAGTTGACCAGAAACAGAGGAAATTAACTCAGTTAGCATCAACACACACCAAATCAACCATTTTCTTCTTATTATCTTTGGTATCTAATAGACAGATTTCATTTTATCATCGATGATATTCAATCAATTTTAACATTTACTAAAAACACTTGTTTTAATGAATTTGCGAACAAATTTATGAACGAAAGACAAAAGGCTGAATTAGAAGGAAATAAAGGAAAAAGTTTATTTTGCAAGATTTCACTTAATGGATCATATGGTTACGATGCAATGAATACACAAAATTACGCAAAGACTAAAATAATGAATGCACAGAAGGCACGCGTTGCATGTATGTCAAATAAGTTTAAAAACATAAGAGAAATAGGTGAAGATACATATCAAGTGATGCTTAAAGATAGATTTTATAGATGTGATACATGTTTACAAGAGGCATTCTTCACTTTAGATAATGCTAAATACTGGTATTTGGTTTTCATTTATGATTTTATGTATAAATGCATGAATGTTAATCGTTTTCATTTCATTGAAGGTGATACTGATTCATCTTATTGGGCAATCGCTGGCGACCAAATCTTCCTAACACTCAAGCATTTCAAGCAATTGTTACCGATAAACAATTTTATGATAAAAACATTTTCAAATTCGCACCATTTGATTTCTTCTGTTTTGATGAGAAATTTAAACCTAAATTAAAGAATAAAGCTGAAGAAAAAGCACATGAGAAGAAGTTATTGGGTTTAGCAATTGAGAAACAAGGTGATAACATGGTTGCTTTATGCCCTAAGTGTTATACATCATTCAACGGTTCAATTGATGGAAGTGATTTTAAAAAGATTGCACAAAAAATGAAAGGTGTTAGTTTACGACAAAATAAACAATTAACACCTAAAAATTATTTGGATATAATAAATGATAAAGTGATATTTGATGGTCAGAATATTAATTTACAACTTAAAAACGGGTCAATGACTCGCTTAACAATCGGTAAGACTGCATTAACAGGAGCACACACTAAGGCTGTATGTTGTGAAAATGGATGTTGTATGCCATTTATTTAATACAATTTAAAATTTTATTTTTAATAAAATGCCACAGAAGAGACAAAAGGAACCGTAAATAATGGTTTTGATACTATGATTCAAAGAGGTGGGCACCCTTAAACATTTATTTTATTTTTATATAAATGGATAACACAGATTTAAAAATTTAATTGATGATTTAGTACTTAATCAAAATTTTCTTAATTATTATGAATTAAAATCATATCTCCAAAAACAATAACAATATAACGGGTGATGATATGGAATTATTATCCATATTATAAAAATGAAATTTTGAAATATCATGATAAAATAATTTCTAAAATTAAAGACAAAATTAAAAATAATGAATATACAAAGGAAAAACTAAATCACAACTTAAACAATTGAAAGATTTCAAAAATAAAGTATTAACAGAAGAAGATATTGAGGAATTATATAAATTATATAATCCTGAGCCGCAAAAACAAAAGGTGCAAAACGCCCAGGTCCTTCAGACCATAAATGAAGCACAAGCTTTAATTTATGATTCATTAGTTAAACCATATTCAGCCCGACTTTTAAATGAAGATCAACTTTTGGAATTCATCCTTCAACATAAACTCGAAGCGGGAAAGTATATCAAACCTTTATATACAGCATATTTAAAACAAATGAATAGAATACATCCAGAATTAATGAAGGGGGGAATGAAATCCAAAATCAAAGCAGATAAAATTAAACCACTTGCAACGACAGTACCGCTTCCTCCTTCATTCCCCCCTTCATCATTCACTTTATTATATCCATTTCAAACATTAAAGAAGCAAAAAGATTTTAAAAAGGATTTCAAGATATTAAATAAACCAATTGACCCGAAAATTCAACCGTTAAAGGAAAAATTTAGTCGCCCTTCATTTGCTCCATATCCATATTCATACGAAATCGATCATCTGGAATATTCAAAAGGAAAAGTTACTTATTTATTTGCCATTAACATTAACACTAGATATTTATATTGCATTCCAGTGAAAGGGAAAACAGAACAGGAAACAAGAAGAGCTATACAATACTTACTAGATCATGAAAGAGTAGATAATATAAGGGGTGATGGTGATAAAGGATTTCAGGCAGCTATGGCTCATTATTTCCCACAAATTAATTTTTACTTTCATCCTCTCCATATACGTTTCATAATAAAATAGTTGATGCGGTAATGAGAACTCTTAGAGATGCGTTAGGGGTTAACGGTCAGATATACTGGGATGGAAATCATGACTCCATCATACAAGTTAGTATATTATTACAATAATACATGGCATAGAACTATAAACATGAAACCGTGGAAATGAAAAATGATATTTCAAAAGAATGGGAATATATTAGAAAGCAAATGGAAAGGTTAATGATGTTAAACGTGAACAAATTAATTCGGGGCTCATGAATTTTAAACAAGGGGATAAAGTTTTGATTCATCTCGATTATGGAAAAACTGATAAATCAATGACAAAAAAAGACGAAGATTTGACACAATAGCTGAATTTGTTAGATATATTAACGGCAATGCATTAGTTGAAGTTGACAATAAATTAATAGAAATTCCGATTTATTTTATTACTCCATTATATTTAAATAATATTTAATTTTTTTATTTCGTAAGAAATGAGTGACAACAAAGCAGCCAAGAGTCCAGACAATGAATATAAAAAGAAACTAAACAGAATTAAATCAAAAATATGCTATTACAAAAAGAAGCCGCAATGCGGTGGGGTTGAAAACGATAAAGAGAGGAAAGAAATAATCGAAAAATTAGAAACTTACCGTTCAATCCTTAAACTGAGTGAAGCAAAAATAAAAGAATTTAATAGAATAAATAAATTGATTGGAAGAGATGAATTTAATAAAGATGAATTTTTAAACTCAATCCAAATTTAATTTTTATTCCTCTTCCCGAACCCTTCTGGGTTCTTGCATCATTTTTATCATTTCCTCCCTTGTTATGATTCGTGGTAAATTTTGAGCTTGTGGGGTATCCATTTATATAAAAATAAAATTTTGTTATCAGTTATTTTATCGTTAATGGTTTCAGGTTATTCAATAATTAATTATTTTTGAATAACTGAAGGTGTCACTATGTCACCATGTCACCAGGTTAATTAACTTCTCTGAAAAAATGAGACAACATGACATTTAGACAACACAACAGGATTAAGGAGGAAGGCACTTATGAAGCATTTTTGAATAACTGAAGGTGTCACTATGTCACCATGTCACCAGGTTAATTAACTTCTCTGAAAAAATGAGACAACATGACATTTAGACAACACAACAGGATTAAGGAGGAAGGCACTTATGAAGCATTTTTGAATAACTGAAGGTGTCACTATGTCACCATGTCACCAGGTTAATTAACTTCTCTGAAAAAATGAGACAACATGACATTTAGACAACACAACAGGATTAAGGAGGAAGGCACTTATGAAGCATTTTTGAATAACTGAAGGTGTCACTATGTCACCATGTCACCAGGTTAATTAACTTCTCTGAAAAAATGAGACAACATGACATTTAGACAACACAACAGGATTAATGCAAAAATAAATTCAAATCATACTTTATAAAGCTTCATTTACAGGTATTTCATCATCAGTAAATGAATCCTCATTATCGTTTGGTTCAACCTGTTTATATAATCCTTTCATTTCTTCTTTCAAAACATAACACCATGTCTGTTTACCATCTATTCTTCTCTGTTTCCTTTCACATTTATCCTTAATGCTCATTTGAAAGTTTTTGTCTTTCATGTCTGATGGTTTGCAGAATAGAGCATTTTCACACGTCATACCTGCACACAATTCATCATAATGTGTATTTATCCATTCATCTAAAGGATTTGTTGATAATTCTATTAAATCTTGTTTGGCTTCAGTCATCGGTATGATTCGTACATTAAATGATGAAAGGTCATATTGCATAAAATATGTTAGTAAATTATCATAAAATTCCTTGGTGCATGAATCCATTAAATTCTTGAAGTAATCAAATTGACCCTTGAATTTACCATTAACTCTTAAAACTACGTATCTTCTGTCTCCAACTTCAATTTTGACAGGGTAGACGTTATTAGTTACGAAAATGAAGTTTGCAACATTCTGAGCAGTTCTTCTGGGTTGATTCTTTTCATTAATTCTAATCTCATTATCCGTTATAATTTATTTCAAAGCGTTGAAGTTTGCAAGTCTGTCTTCACCTACATTCTTGAGTTCATTAAGTACAAGAAACATTTTATTTTCAACTACTGAATTGAAATTACCCGTTAGCTCACTTATTTCGGTAATGTTTTTACATGAATAACCAGCGAGAAGTTCAGAAATAATGTCTGTAAATCTGTTTTTACCTGTTCCCTGAAGTCCTTTCAAAATAATTGCTGTTTCATTCTTGATTCCAGGATGTTGAATCATTGATGCAATCCAGCCGAGAAGGTATTTATACACTTCATCGTTATTATCACAAATGGCTTCTTTAATGAAATTCATAAACATCTCAATTTTTGAGTAATCAGGCTTTTCGAGAATGTTGTATTTATAACCTTGAAACGTTGAGAAAACATCTGGGGAATCAGATTTAAAGCAAACACCCTTAACAGTTAATGAAGACAATTGATTTAGTAGTACGTCCCACGCTGTTATGGTTTTACCTTCTTCTTTAAATAATTTAATCATTTTGAGTGACTCTTTCATGTTTGATTGAAGAACGAATGATATTTGATTCATTTTGTCGTGGATATTATAGTCCTTTTGAATGAAATATTTGTTTCCACAATCTACAAAACGGATTACACGTGATAAATCCTCAATTACTTCAGAACTGTTTTTATACTGATGATTTTCAGCCTTGCGTCTAATATCTGTTATCAAAAACGAGTCATCAAGTTTTATATCAAATGTTATTTTTGGCTTACGTAATAAAGGTAAAACGTATTCATCATAATATTCCTTTTGATATAGTTTTAGAATCTTCACTAAAACAAATGGAGAAGTCATTAAATGTGCATATCTACTACGTGCTTTTTCAAAATTACTTTTTGCATTTTCTGTTAAACTGCAGAAGTTATAAACGTTATCGTATGCTTCATTAATCAAATGATTAGGTAACGAATTAATAGCTTGAAACAGTGTGAATAATGTTATTTCTTTTTCTAAATTCATGTTTCCACCGTCATTATGTACTTCAAAATCACAGATGCCATCAACTATGCTCTGGGCAAGTTTATCGTCAATGTTTACATCTTTGTTTTCATTCATTATACTCTTTATTTCTTCATTCTTCTGTTCAACTCTTACCTTAATATTCAAATCATTTAATATATCATTCACTGTTCTAGTTAATGTTGAATCGTAACTTCCACGAATGAATGAGTATGTATTGATTGGTTCTGTTGCATTCTTGCGAACTCTTGAATCAGCCATAACCACTAATGAACGTTTTGAATCATCAATAGAAGTCATTATATCAATATCATAATCATTGCAGGAATAACATTTAATCATTCTGTTCGAAACTGCATAAAAGAAATTAGTGTTGCAATAAATGTGAAGACCTCTGAAGCGGTTTTAACGATAACATCTTTATCCGAAAGTTTTGATAAAATATCTTTTCCAACTGTTTCTTTAAGTTCATCATTGTACGATTTATTGATATCAACATCTATAATCGTTAAATTTGATATTTTATTTACTAATAAAGCCATACCAGTTTTCCTTCCTCTTCCTCCATCGTGTTTGAGGTAGTTATGTAAATCAATCTTGTTTTCACCAATTCTTTCGTTGAGGGTTTTAGTTTCTGCCACAACTAATTCCTCAGCTAATGAATCAATAACTTTTTCATCAGAAACGATATAGTTGCTGTTGTTGTTTGTTGCTGTCATTTATATAGGAATAAAAAAATAAAAATAATTTTAAAACTAACTTTATTTTTGGACTGCATCAAATTTCAGGACTGTTGTCAAAATGTCAAGTTGTCTCATTTTTTCAGAGAAGTTAATTAACCTGGTGACATGGTGACGTAGTGACACCCTCAGTTCTTCAAAAATAATTAATTATTGAATAACCTAAAAACCGTTAACGTAAACATTAACGATAAAATTTATTTCCAGGACTGTTGTCAAAATGTCATGTTGTCATCATTTTTAAGAGAAGTTAATTAACCTGGTGACATGGTGACGTAGTGACACTTTCAGTTATTCAAAAATAATTAATTATTGAATAACCTAAAAACCGTTAACGATAAAATATATTTTTGGTCGTTTATGACAAAAATAAATGGTTCATTTACTCACAATATTTTTTTACAAAACGACCCCAAACTTTTAACTTCTTTTCTGCAGTTTCTAATGCTATCTTAGCGAGTTCATATTCTTTAAATTCTCTCTTTAAATCTTCTTGTTCCCATTGGTCTAGTTCGTATGGAGAATCTCTATAACCATAATATATCTCACGTTCATGTTCTAATTGTTTTTCGCACATTTTTCTAACTTCTTCTTCAAACAAATGTTTAGCATTCTCTACTGTATCTTCGAGTTCTTCTTCATCTAATTTCTCATGAACTTTCTTGTCTATGGAGTCCATAATTTTTCCAACTGCTATGCAATATTTTGGAGAAGCCCACATTGCTATATAGTTTATAAGTCTTGGGTCTACATACGTTCCTCTAACCTGTTTGATTTCATCAGGAATTCCTGCATGAATTTTGTATAAAAAGCAACAGTCCGAATTCCGGCGGTTGCTATATTCTTCACAAAATGCCTTATAATACTCTTCCCAGGACTTATTTTCCAACAACTTTCTAAAGTCTTTCCTAAACTGCTGACACATATTTGTTGCATTAATGTAACCATCCTTGTCTCTACGTAAGACTTCAATACCGTTATAAGTGCCTTTTGTGAATGTTTCGCCATTAGATTTGTTAGTGAATGTTTTTGCTTCGACTGACATTTCTGTTCTTACATACAAAATAAAAAAAATAAAAAAATAATTTTAAAACTAACTTTATTTTTGGACTGCATCAAATTTCCAGGACTGTTGTCAAAATGTCATGTTGTCTCATTTTTAAGAGAAGTTAATTAACCTGGTGACACATGGTGACGTAGTGACACGTTCAGTTATTCAAAAATAATTAATTATTGAATAACCTAAAAACCGTTAACGTAAACATTAACGTAAACATTATTTCTGCAGTTCATCCATTACTTCATTACCTAATTAATTACAGACATAAAATATATTTAGTTCATTCGGTAAGCCTTGACCCAAAGGTCTGGGCTCAAGCACATTCAATGAACGCGGTACCATGCGAATACAGTCACAAATGGTGGCATGTAATCTTTACCCGAGCCTGTTGGATTTGTTGTGAAAGTGTGTGAATGATTTCCTGCGGTTCCACAGAAAATACCTGTGCTTGAATCTACTGGGTCAGTTGAAATATAGGGTGTCCAAAGGTGTGTTTAGCACAAACCTGAATACTGCGAATAGAAATAAACAAGTTACATATATATAAAGTTTATTTAAATATAATCACCATTGGATTCAATCACGCGTTCGCAGCGATCGATCCAGGCTTGAAAGACACGCTTTAAATCATCATGAGAAAATTGCTCAAATTGCTCTCTTACAAAATTTTCAAGATCATCTGGACTCGCGAATTCGCGTCCTTCAGCTCTCTTTTTTAGCGTGCCGAATAAATAAAAGTCAGAGGGTGCAATATCAGGTGAATAAATTGGGTTTGGAACAACTTTGACATTGTTTTCCACCAAGTAATTCATTACCTTATGACTTTTGTGAACTCTTGAATTATCAAAATGAATTGCAAACTTTTGTTTTTGTTGTTTGGATTTCTCAAACTCATCAGAATTGATAATTTGAGTAAGAACATTGTCAATTAGATACTGAGCATTCATCGTATTAGGTTTTTGAAGAATATCAATTGCGATGATGCCATTCACGCCCCAAAAAACCGACAACATCATCATTGGTGTGTCAATTTTTTTCTTCGGGAATGTTTGCGGATTTTCATCCTTCGGGATCCACATGATTTTGGCTTCTGTTGCATATTGAAACCAAGACTCGTCCCCTGTTACTAAAAAGCGAAACTTCTTGGATTGATACGCACCCAATATAGAGAGGAGCTCTTTCGAAGATTGGACTCTAGATTTTTTTTGAACTGAATTAAGGTTGTGGCGGAACCCAACGTGTATACGCTAGTTTGTAGTTCAAATAATTGTGCAGATAATAACTGACTGTTGTACGTGGTATCTTTGTCATCTCCTCTATCCTTCTGAGTGATGCTCTTGGGTCTTCATCTAGCGCTTGAAGAATTGCTTTGATTTTTCTTTGATCCGGCGATTTTTTGTCAATTTTTATGATGGGCGCCTTTTTGTTCATGAAGTGATACATCCTAACATGATACGTTACAGTGGAATAGCTAGGAGCATCCATACCGAAGCATTTTACCAATGTCTCGTAGATTTTTTACAGTCTTTGCATTTTTTTGCAAGAGCGAGGATGTTTTCTTTATGATTCATTAAAAAAATGAAAAAAATCCCGCCAAAATTTCCCGCGAAACCGCCTCTTGTCTCAAAATTCATTTTATATCCCGGCATGGCGCCAAAATACAACATACTCATCATATACATATATTCATATTTTTTATTATATATTTATAATCAGCATATATCTCCTTTAATAGTCTCATATAGAGCGCTGTGCTAAACGCACCTTTGGACACCCTATATCAGATCTATTCATTCCCTGTCTATTCGAACCCGCTGCAAGATTTGTATAACCTCTTTTTGTTATTGAATGTGAATGATTACCTGTTGTGTTTGTAGTTCCTGTATGAGTGTGCGGTGGAAGGTTTGCTTCTTTAATTTTCTTCGAACCTCCTGTTTGCTTTGAATATCTAGCACAGTATAAGAATTTATCTACAATCTGCTTCCACGTACCAAAACCTAAAACTGTTGATGGATTTGTTGAGTTCATTGACGTATAAATAGAACCAACAGGATATAATGTTTGAAGAATTTCATTTTTCATGCTTGTAATCACATCATTTACTTCCGACTTCTTTGCATAATTTTCATCAACATAAGTTTTATCTGCTTTAAGTCTAAACATCCTGAAACCCATCTGTATCAGCTTTAACTTTAAAAGTCTCCGATGTCCATTCATGATACCATTCAACCTTTTCTTTAATTTCATTATCTTTTTCATCAACATAAACCAAATTTGCCTTCTTATTTAACTCACTATCCACATATTCCTTATCCACCTTCTTCATTATGTCATTTAGGAAACCTTCTATGAATTCCTCATTTAAATTAAATCTTCCAATCTTCAAAACTTTAGGAAATGCATTTAATGCGTAATATCTCTGTTCTTCTGGTGGAATTGATGTTATATCATCCGTTATTCCTTTAATTTTTGAATTCATAAATAAAATTTCTTTTATATTTGATATCACTGCACCACCTTTGCAAACGAATTCGAAATGGTCATTTTTCAATACTATCTCCAAATCTCCATATTTCAACCTTTGCGTTTGTTCTGCCGTCTTTGAATTATATGCATATATGGCGTATGTAATGGTCTGAAGGACCTGGGCGCTTTGCGCCTTAAGTTGCTGTTGTTTAATCATTTATTATGATTTAAAAATAAATATTTAATCCGTTATCTCATCAGCTATTTTCTCTATTTGAAATTGCCATAATATTTCATTCATAAATTCTAAATCACAATCAAATAGGTCAGTTATTCTAAATTTAATATTTGATAAATCTTTTGAATGAAGAATAAATGAATTCCCGGATAATTGAAACGGATATGATAAAGAAAATGTGTTTAAGTTGATGGATAAAATGTTTTGTATTGATGGGTAAGAGTTAGGGTCTAATGTTTGATGTGAAATCTCATTGGGGTATTAACTTTATCACATTTGATTAAAATGAAATTGGAACCAGTGTCAGAATACAAAACATCCCCAACGTCTTTTTCAAAATTTAATATCCCCAACAATGAACGAAGATGAGGAGTACAAAATTTAATTTTCAGCGGGAATTTAATAAGGTTATTTATTTCATCAAGTTCAAAAAGTTTATCGGGTTTTGATTTAAAATTTTCTTCATACCATACGATAAATGATTCATTTAAATAACTTAAAATCATGTTAATATCCCATTTTGCTATCACATTATTTATATACATATCATACGTTTTTTCAAGGTCATCTTTAATAAATGATATATAATCTGAAGGGTCTAAAAGAATGGGATTAAATTTACCACTCACAGAAACGAGAGTAACATTATAAATTCCGCTAACTGTTAAATTTAATTCACAGCTATTATTCGAAATAATATTGATAATTGACATTTTTATTACGATTAAAAATATGGTAAAGCGTTATTTTCCAGTGATAAATAAAACTAGAATAAGAATACCTCAAGAATTCATAA